TTTGTTTTCTGTCTGAGCTAGAAGTCCCAGCTTTCTTCGGCTGATGTTTTCTGCCAGAGCTAAAAGTCCCAGCTTTCTTCAGCTGATGTTTGTTTTGTGTCCAAGCTCAAAACAGCCGAGTTTAACGCAGGAAACGTTCAGACTCAGGGATTTCGTTCAACTTTAAAAAGCTTTTTTCTGCTCTGAAGCAGCACGAGCAGCGAGCTCAGCCTTAAGAGACTCGGCTGTGAATCAGCTAAACTCTCCAGCTGCAAATTAGCTGAACCCTCCAGCTGTGAATCAGCTGAATCCTTGTCCAAACGGTCTCATCTACAGACTCTGTCCTTCAGATGTTGAACAAAATGTTGGGTCTGATCGCAGCTAAGCTCCGCCCGTCACAATCTGTTTAATATACAAATAACGAGGAGGGGGACATTTTATGTTGTCAGGTCAATAATTCATGTTTAGATATTTAAATCTGTTTTCTGTCGTATGTAACAAACAGTGAAGTTTATAGTTTTTGTTATTTGTCTCTGAATAAACAAAAATCTCATATTAATCCCATAAATAAATAAATAAAAACAGTCCAATAGAAGTTTGAACACCTTCTAAAAAATTCTTAAACAGTTAAAGAGGTGAACGCAGCAGTGAAGCCTAAGCTCCACCCGCCTGACCTTTTGACCTGCAGCTTGCCCTTGTTGCGGATGAAGCGGATGCTGTAGACCCTCTGCATGGCGGCGGGCAGGTAGGACAGCACGTCCGGGTCCGTGATGAGTCTGGGCAGGCCCAGGGTGGGCAGCGGCGTCAGGCCGCGGCACAGCGGGCACTGGATGGCGCCGGGCTCGGCGGACTTGACGTTGATGCGGGCCAGGCACTCCAGGCAGAACGTGTGCTTGCAGTGGAGCATCTTGGGGCAGCGGAAGACGTTGTTGAACTGGCTGAAGCAGACGGAGCACTCCAGGTCCGGACCCGTCTCCTCAGAGCACTGGGGCGGGGCGGGGGACAGCTGGACGTCTGGGGACGGGAGGCTTATGGAGACCTGGTAGGAATGGAGGGACACGGGGGGAGCGTAGGGGTTCTCAGAGGACGGACTGAAGCCTGGAAGGGCCAACGTGGGGCTCAGGGACCAGACGTGCACCGACTGCTGTCTGGAAGGAGAGTTGTGGAGTAAAATGTTCTGAGAGCTGAGGCCCGTCTGGACGATGGACAGAGACGAGGACGGACAGGAAGAGTTTGGACTCTCTGAGGAACCAGCAGCTTCGCTCAGGGTTAGATCTGTGTACGGATTCATGGTGAGGTCAAAGGTCAGATCTGAGGAGACAACGTGAGGGGCAGACGGGGGGACAACTGTCCTTCAGCTCTGAGGAGACAACGTGAGGGACAGACGGGGGGACAACTGTCCTTCAGCTCTGAGATGACGAAATGATGGACAGACGGGGGGGACAACTGTCCTTCAGCTCTGAGGAGACGAAATGATGGACAGACGGGGGGACAACTGTCCTTCAGCAGCAGGAACA